AAAAAATGTGACCGTACCAAAAAAAAAAAAAAAAGGCATTTGAAAAATTTCAATACCCATTTATGATAAAAATTCCCAGCAAACTAGGAATATTGGGGAATTTCTTTAACTGGATAAAGATTTACCAAAACCATAGTGAACATCATACTTTCTGGTGAGAAACTTTAAACGCTCCCAGTAAGGTCAGAAACAAGGCAATTACATGCCCTCTCATTACTGCTTCCAACACTTTATTGGAAGTCCTAGCTGACGCAATAAGATGTAGGATTTATTTTTACAGATTGGGGAGGAAGAAATTGTCTTTGTTTTCAGATGACATAACTGTCCTTGTAGAACATCTGAAAGAATTGAGCAGCAAAAGTTTTGGAACTAAAACATTTATAGTGAAGTAAGGTTGCAGAATACAAGGTTAATAAGCAAAACCCAATCATGTCACTATATTTCAGCAATCAACAAGCGGAGTTTGAAATTAAAAACCATATACCATTTGCACTACCACCAAAGGAAGTGAAATACTTAGGTATAAATTTAATTATATATTTAACACACACACACACACACACACACACACACATATATAAGACCTATATGAGAAAAACTACAAAACTGTGATAAAAGATACCAAAGAACTAAATAACTGAAGAGCTGATTCCTGTTCATGGACAGCAGCCTCAATTTTGTTGAGATTTCATTCCTCTCAACTTACTCTAGATTCAATATAATTCCAATCCAAATCTCAGTGAGTTATTTGGTGGCTATTGACAAAGGGATTCTTAAGTCCAACAAGAGAACCAACACAATATTGGGGTAGAACAAAGTCAGATACTGACTCTCCCCTACTTTCATGCTTACTTAATATAAAGATACAGTAATCAAAACATGTGGTGTTGGCAAAGGAATAAACAAATAGTTCAATGGAACAGCATAAGGAGACCAGAAACTAATTCCCATAAATATTATCAACTGATTTTTGACAAAGGAGCAAAAGCAATCCAGTAAAGAAGTAATCTTCTCTACAAATAGTTGTTGGACAACTTGATACCACATGCAAAGTAGACTCGACACACATATCTTACAACCTCCTCAAAAAAAACTAAAAATGATTACAATTGAGATGGAAAAAAAAATGTACAAAATGATGTAAAAATAAACTGTTATAGGCCCTCCCTGGTGGCGCAGCAGGTTAAAGCACAGCACTGAGAAACTTCAGGCAGTTCCACATGAGTTCGATTCCTGCCTGCCCCGGAGGTGACCACATGGCGCGGCAGACCTCTCCTGACCCGCCCGCTGCTCCTCTCAGCAGTGTGCTTTGTCGATCTGCCTGTTCTGCTCCCCACTCTGTCTCTGGTGAAGTCTTTCGCCACCCTAAGTCTCTGGCCTGTACCCCAGTTCTGTATGCACAAATAAATAAATCTTTAATAAATAAATAAATAAAAATAAACTGTTATAAAATTAAAAAAAAAAACTAAAAATGGGTGATGTAGCGTGATATAAAATGTAAAACAACAGAACTCCTAAAGGACAACACGAGAGAACAATCTAAGTGACTTTGGTTATAGCAATGACTTTTTAGATACAATACCAAAGACACAGTCCATGATAGCAATAATTGATTAAAGCTGGACTTCATTAAAGTTTTAAAATTCAGCTCTGTTAAAGATACTGCCAGGAGAATAAGAAACCACAGACTGGGTGAAAATATTTGCAAAAGATACATAGACAAAGGACTACTATTCAAAATATGTAAAGAATCCATCAAACTCAACAGGTAAATAAAAAATCCAATTAAAAATGCCACAAGACTTGAATATACATCTTGCCAAAGATCCACAGATGAGCGTAGGGAAAGATATTTATCAGTCAATAGGGAATTACAAACTGAAACAACAGTGAGATACTACTTCACGCCTATTAGAATGGCCAAAATCCCAAACACTGATAGTATCAAATGCTGACAAGGATATGGAGCAAGGGAAACTCTGAGACACTGCTGATGAGGATGCACATGGTACAGTTTGGAAGACAGTTTGGCAACTTCTTACAAAATTAAACAAGCTTTTACCAGGTGATCCAGCAGTTAAGTTCCCTAGTATTTACCCAAATGAGTTGAAAACTTAGGTTCACACAAAGACCTGTATACAGATGTTTACAGCAGCTTTACTGATAACTGCCAAAGCTTGCAAGCAACCAAGAGGTCCTAGTGTCTCCATACAATAGACTCTTATTCAGCACTAAAAAGAAAAGAATTATTCACAGTAGCCAAATCATGGAAGCAACCCAAATAGCCATTGTCAGATGAAGGACTAAGCAAGATGTGGTTTATACATACAAAGTCATATTATTTAGCTTTTCAAGTAGAGGAAATTCTGACATCTGCTACAACATGGACCCTAAGGATATTATACTAGGTGAAATAAGCCAGTCACAAAAAACACTACTGTGTTCTTTCATTTACATGAGGTACTTAAAGTCGTCAAAATCATTGAGATGGAACATGAAATGGTGGTGGCCAGGAGCTGGGAGGGGAGGGGAATAGAGACTTACTGTTTTATGGGTTCTGACTTTTAATTTCCCAAGATAAAAAGAGCACTGGAGATAAAAGTTGGCGGTGGTTACACAATACAAATATCCTTAATACTGCTGAGTTGTATATTTTAAAAGAGTTAAGACAGTAAGTTGCATGATATGCATGTTTTAACATTTTCTAATGATTTAAAAATGAGATATTGTATTATGAAAAGCCATGAAAGAAACTTAATCAGGATGTGGGAATCACTGACCCCATCACCGGTAACCAAGCCAGCATGGTACTAGCCTAAGTACAGAGCTATAAACAAATGGAATAGAATTGAAAGTCCAGAAATAAGTTTATATTGGTTTCTCCACAAAGGTGCATGACTATTCAATGGGAAAAGAATAATCTTTTCAACAAGTGGTGCTGGGATAACTGGATATCCACATGCCAATGAGCACATACATTGAACCTCTTCCTCACACCATTTATCAATACAAATACTAACTCAAAATAGATCAGTGACTTCAACATAAGCACCAAACATATAAAATCTCAGAAGAGAACACAGGGTTAAGTCTTCATGACCTTGGATTTCACAATGGATTCTTAGCTGTGACACCAAGAGCCGAGTACAGCTTCTCCTGGGGGAGCCGGCCTCAGTCTGCCCCTCCCTGACCCCTGCTTCCCAATGTCAGATCTCAGCAGGAGGAAGATTCCACTGCCTTCTAGAAGTTGCCTTCACTATCGCAGCCTGCTGAGGAGGGCTGGCCGGGAAGATCAGGACATCAAGGGACTTCTCATCCTGCCTTGGCTATGAACTCTGTGCAGGGCTGGGTGGAGAAGTAGGGAAGGCCACTGTGGAGGTATACCCCACCTGTCAGAATGGCGACACTGTGGGCACTGTGAGGAGCCACAGTGGGTGTGTGGGTGCTGTCATCGGCACTTTGAGGTGTGGCTGTGGGTGCAGGGTGCTCTGTGGATGTAGAGGGGTACTCTGTGGGAGCCTTGGTAGACACTGTGGGTGCTATGGGGTGCAGAACACACACTGCCCTTGGGCAGGAGTCCCATGTTTGGGTCCTAACCTTGCTGTTTTTGGAGGGAAAGCCTGCAGTCACTGACTACTTCTCCAAACTCCAGTTGTCCTCTGCAAAAGGGCTTATTAATACCTGCCTGGGGGGCTCAGAGATTATCTACAAAAGGGTCCAGTGAAGACCATCCGCAGTGACATGTAATCCATGGGAACGAAGCCTCAGGAAGAATTTTTCACACCCCACACCCCAGTGGTGTCAGAACAGAGAGCTGACACAACCCAGGCCCACCTCGTAACCCTATTTTAGATCCTGCACAGAAAGAGGTATGCGTCTCCAGGATAACCCCGCTATAAATTCACAGACGCCCAGCTCTCACACCCCAAGAGCCACTGCCACCTCGAGGTGGCACATTATTCCAGAGGCTGCCGTGGCTCAAAGCAACAGGCATGTCCTGCAGGCCGCTCCCCACCTTCACAACCACCTGCGAGGCGCATGCTATCTGCCCATTTTAGAGACAGGAAAACTGATCCCAAGTCAAACAGCTAGTGAAGGGCAGAGCTAGACACAGCCCCCAGCAGAGGTTTCCCACAGCAGCACACGCTTGTCTGCCAGTCACTACGGTCTCTTTACATTTCCTTGCGACCCCATCACCTGCTTCCTGGACAACAAGAGAGGAAAAACCCCCTCTGGGAGCAGGAACAGCAGCTCCCACTCTTGCTACTTTTCTCTGAACTTAGAGATTCTTTCCTCTCGTGCAGTGAGGTCCCTGGCCACCTCTCTTGAGGTCCCCCCAAGCAGAAACCTGCCTAGCAGAAAGGTCATGGGGAAGTTAAGCTTATTCCTCGCTTCAGCACCATCTCCTGAATTAGAAAGCCAGGCGGATGGGGCCCTGTGATAAGGCTGTGTGGCTGCCTAAGGGGATCAGGGCGGCCTCTGAGGGTGGCAGCTGGCAGGGCAGGGTGAGCTGGGGCACAGAAGCGGTGGAGCAAGAGGGAGCCCTTGCGGCACCCCACCTGACCGCTCCTCGGTGGCCAGTCCTCTAGGGCCTCGGGCATGCCCACGTTATCTCCCAGTGGGGGCCAGTCACCAGCCTAGAATAATCTTGGCCAGCAGCTACACCGGGCAAAAGTGAGAGACTGAGCCAGGAAGCAGGTGATGGTGTCCCAGGGAAGATGCAGAGGTCAGCAACGAGGAAAGTGGTTGAGACAACAAATGTCACCAGGCGCCTGGGCACAGCACTTTACAGTATGTACACCCCACCCTCCACAGCAGCCCTCGGCGTGGGGATGTGGGAGTGTCTTCTGTTTAAGAATCCGGGGATGGTTTTCTGAGCCTTCTCCGCATCGTCTCCCCAAACCAGCCCGGGGCTGCGTCTTGTGCCCCCTTTTAGAGATCAGAAAGCCAAGACCCCCAGAGACGTATAGGAAGAGCCCCGCCCTGTGGCTGGGTCCTACCTCTTTCAGATGACGTCTCTGCCTTTCTGGGGCATCAAGATAGCTCGAGCTCTCCTGACGGTAGCTTCAGGATAAATTCTAGAAGGAACAGAGAGAGAGAGATCGATATTAAAAAGGCCAGGTGAGTGGGGCCGGTGGCGTCTGGGGGCTGCTCAGTCCACATGCTCACCCCCTCCTCAAAGAGTCCCCTCCCCTTCTGTCTCTGCAGGTACAGACGCCAGACAGGGAGCCCGGGGCCAGAAAGTCAGCACGAAGCACCCAGCCCCCCAGAGGCCCTCAGGACGGCCCCCTGGAGCCGTAGATTGGGGCTTATCTTCAGCCCTAAAATCAGCACAGGCGCCTGTACAATGTCTGTGCTGTGACATCGGGCATGCTAATCACTGCATCACATCACGTATCTTTGCTTCTAGCTAGAATATTATCAACTTAATGTGGGAACTCCATTTTCCTCAGGCCAGAAGAGGCATCTGAGAAACTCTGAAAGTGGGAAAGAGCATTAATCACTGCCTAATGCATGCAGACTCTTGGAGCAAACCAATGCCTTCAAGATTTTGGCATTCAAGAAAAGATAAGTAGCAAGAGAAGTCTCCGGTGGTGAGAAACCACGCAAGCCCAGAGTGCAAGGGCCAGAAGACCAGCCACTCGCCTCCTTCCTCTCTGTCAGTGTGGAAGAGTCTCCAGGTCATGGGCGAAGAGTGAACTTCGCCACATCCGGGCCATATTCTTGCCAGCCCAGGTTTGGGTCAGGGTCCCTGGGGGCCCGGCTTGCTCACATGCACAGCTGAGAGGCCGACACAAACTTACAGCTGAGGTCCCTGTGCCCTCTGACAGTGGACACCACTACAGCAGTGAACTGCGAAAGCAGGACTTCACGGTGGATATGCCCAGGCCATATCCCTGACATGGGGCAGAGCCGGCAGGACTAGGACTCAGGTCCGCGGGAAGCCAAGCCACGGGAGCGGATGAGCCAGGGAGAGCGGGGTCCAGTCCACTCCAGAGGACCTAGCATCGGAAGGGGTTCTCAGAACTCCTTGGGGAACACCAGGGATCTCGACTGAGGTGGCTCTTGCTCCCACATCCACCCAGCAGCGTCAGACAGAGGCTGCAATCAGGAATTCACACCCCCACACACACACACACACAGCCTCACGTAAATACGTCGCATGTATAATTATTATTAAAAGCAGGGGCTTTTCAAAAGTTCATGTTATGCCATTTAGCTTTCAGACCAACATTAGTTTCTATTTTTACTAACCACCACCCCCCCCAAAAAAAGAAAAACCTGAAGAAAATGTTCACATTTACGACAAGTGTCAAAAGCAGAGCAGGCTCAGCGGCTTCTGTGGAGTAAGGGGACACCCCAGCTACTCCACAGTGTATGCCTCCTGCCATTCCGGTTACTGCAGGGCTTAGCTATTATTTTGTAGGTTACTTTTTTTTTAAATAAGATTTATTTATTTATGCACACACAACTGGGGTACAGGCCAGAGGAGCAGGGGCCGTGAGAGGATTCACCAGAGACAGAGTGGGGAGCAGCACAGGCTGACTGACGAAGTACACTGTTGAGGGGAGCAGAGGGCAGGTCAGGAGAGGTCTGCCGCGCCATGTGGGTCACCTCCGGGGCCGGGGATCGAACTCATGCTGAAGTGGCTTTAGCTTCTTGTGCTGTGCTTTACCCACTGTGCCCCCCAGGGAGGGCCCTTTGTAGGTTACTTTTAGAAAAATTTTAGAAAATGTGAATTCATGGTAAGTGCTATTTCACTTTGTGCCTTATCAGCTTATGACGGGCTCACAGGAACATTGTGCTTTTGGGTAGCAAGGCAAACCAGCACGTGCATATACACAGATGCACGATTGTAGTAATACACCAAGGGTGTAGAGATACATACATACACGTATATACATATATGCACATACACAATGTTATAGATCTATACTTTATTAAAGTGAAAGTTCTTCCTTTCCCATGCAGCCTGTTCTCCATCGAGAGCCGTTGCAAAGCCTTGGCACCACGGCCTTCTGGACCGTATTCACCAAATCATCTACCTCTGTGCATAGGTATGTGTGGGCGTGCGTCCCTAGGGGCCCCAAGCAGACAGCACGGCTTTCAACGCCAGAGGACCTCCCCCCCCCCCCCCGTGTCCAACAGCTCCGCTTCCCAGGGCTATCACGTCTGTGTGAGGACACATAGACCTCTGGACCTTCTGGACCTGTCTGTCCACCGCTGCATGGTGTCCCATGCAGACGTGGGCCATAACTCCACTCACCTCACCCACCATGGGCATGCTGGCTATTTCCGTGTCTGGCCATCACTGCCTGACCGTGTGCTTCTCTCGGTGCCCACATCTCCATGTGGCGATGCCCATGCAATCCCGAAGCCAGGTGTCCAGCAGAGGGGAGGGTGCTCAGAGGCCCTGCCCATCACACACGTGGACAGACGCTGGCAAAGGCCTTCTCCAAATGCTGCCCAAACAGCGGCGCAGAAGGAGCTCCCTTCTGTGGGTATTAACCCGGACCCAGGCTTTAGGGTTCTTTTCCAGTGGCCTGCGAGGCAGAGACCGTGACCCCAGGCAGGAGTTTAATTTCTTGGCTCTTGCAGATGTCCACAGCTCCACCGCTGAGGGCCGCCTCTGAGGAACTCAGGCCCACCTGAGCCGGGAACTACATTACCAGCTCAGAACTGATAATGAGCTTTTATGGGCACTGGGGACCGCGAGGAACATGTATTAATGTCAAATATCCCCATCAGCCACACAGCCCGGGTGAATGTCACACATTATCGAAATTAAAGGCCGCAGCCACGCCGCCGGAAGGAGCTGCAGGCTGCATGTCAGGCGGGCGGGCAGGACCGTCAGGAACAAAATGACTTTCCAGGCTTTGCGCTCCTGAGCCTGAAGCTATCTCCTGTCTTCGTGGAATTCTGCCTCCCCGCAGCCTGTGAGATTAGTTTATTACCAGTCTGCCAGGAGAAGCAAAATCCCGCACTAATCCTAACTCCCATTTAAGCAAATCTGTATTGTGTGAGAGGAGCCAGCTGCGTTTGGAATTCTCCCCCTACACCCCCACTTCCCAACCCCCTGAGGTCTCATTTCAGCCCCTCCTCTCCCAGAGAGCAGATGTCAGACCTTCAGCTCTTCTGGGAGAGAGGAAAGAATCTCAGGTTTGGGGCCAAGAGGAGGCCTGGGGCTGGGTGACAGGAGGGCTGAATCTAGTGGTCACTGTGGGCTTGGTGGTCGTGGAAAGGAAAGGCCGTCATCTTCCCCTTCCCAAACTCCCTCAGGCTTGGCACAAATATCCCGCCAGGGTTGACATGACCCGGGCTGCCATTCTGAGCCCACCTCTCTATGGCAGTTCTCAACTCGCCTCGTCTCCTTCAATGTTATTTCATTATAACATCGATTAAAAAAAAAAATCCAATCCAGCTAATGCTGAATGAATGGATGGTATGTGAGGACCTGCTTTCTCTTAAAGTTGCAGCTCCCAAGAATCTACCAACTTTGAGTGACTAATGGCAATTCTGGGACCTTGAGCAAGTCACCTTCCTTTGGGGGCTCTCAACTCCCCACCTGGAAGGCATGGCTAAGGAACTACAGCTGAGAACACTTATGGTGCTTTGAAGATTAAGTGAGAAATATATACAGTTGACCCCTGAACAATTAACACAGGCAGTTAAAGACACACAGGCAGCAAAAAACACACAGGCAAAATTTAAGTTCTGATAGCTTGCTGTTGACCAGAGTTCTTATTGATAACAATGAACTCATATATTGTGTGTTCTAGGTATCAGACTCTGTATTCTTACCACAAAGCAAGTTAGAGAAAAGAAAATGTTATTAAGAAAATCCTAAGGAAGAGGAAATATACTTATGTGCTATGGGGGGAAAATCCACATATAAATGGGCCCACACAGTTCAAACCCATGTTGCGTGAGGGTCAAGCGTATATAGGACCTAGTGAGAGTCTATATCACCACGTCTTAATTTTTTAAGACTCTGGATTATAACCACACCCTAATGTTATGGGCTTCTAAATTAAGAACAATGCCAGTTAATTACGACAGGTCACTTTTTATAGGATGTATATTAGTGTCAAAAACCTTAGAAGAGAGAGCCCTTCCTGGTGGTGCAGCAGGTTAAAGCACAGCACTATGAAGTTATCTGCAGCCGCCACAGCACGAGTTCGATCCCCGCCTGGGAGGTGACCCACATGGCACAGCAAACCTCTCCTGACCTGCCTGCTGCTCCCCTCAGCAGTGTAATTCAATCAATCTGCCTGTTCCAGTCCCCCTCTGTCTCTGGTGAGTCCTCTCACCCCCTGCACTTGTGTGGCCAGTACCCCAAATTTGTATGCATAAATAAAAAAGTTCTTTAAAAATACTTCAGAAGACAGAAAAGAGTAAAGTATCTTAAATCCTTAAACTATAGTGAGAGCGTTACCAATGGTAATGAGTGGGATGCTGACCAGTCCTTCCATTTTTCAAGGTCTGATTCAAAACTTAGCTCTATGTCTTCTTCTTTCTTGTAGAGTAAACCCACATTGTGTGCAGGAAAATGACTGTCCCTTTCTAAGGGAACATCAGAGAGCCACCTCAGCATCTGCTCTGTTAAAAAAATGTCTTGACTGAGCTAGGAAATGCGCCCCCAAGCACACACGCTGTGAGCAGATGGACAGCTGGGAGGGATGTCTCACACGCCTGTGCAAAGAGACCACTTGGGGAAAACCCCAAAACAGGCCCTAAGATAGCAGCCACCCCGGGTGACCAACCCAGAGCAAAGGTCCTCCTCTATTTCCCAGACATTTTTTTCTCTTCCATTCCATGGCTTCCAAGTGGCCCTTGACCAGCCCAACCCTGTCCAGCCTTGGCCTCCAGCCTGCAGCCTCTGGTCCCTCCAACCTGCACTCTCACTCCCTGTCAGCTGAACCCACAAATGTGGAATACCATGTCTCTCACCTGCTTCAGTGGGGTCCCTGGCATCCTGCTGTGCCTTATGAACATGGATGCTGCATCTTATCCCCAGTAGCTTTTCTAGACCCTTCTTCAGGTCCTCATGTTGTACATAGACCCCGTAGTCAAACTGA